ATGAAAGATGAATGACATCTTACCAGAACAGACCCTTCTATTTTCATTTGCTATTTCTCCCTTTAATATGGTGCACTGGAGCTCCCTAAAGATTAATGGAGTTCCAATTACATGCCACTGTTGTTTCACTTATCATAATTTGTACATGGCAGTGCAAGTCCCTTGTATTCATGACTTTCCCAGTTTACCCAGAGGGAATATCTTTGCAACTTCCTACTTCTAACAAACAGGCAGTACTTAGTCTAATGATTAAAGCTTGCCACACTCGCTAAGTGAAAATTAACGTATGCTATAAAAGAAAGCAGGCTATCAACACTGTGGGATCAATCGACACTCTTATGCTTTAATATGATCGATTAAAAACTGTAATTAGAAATACTAGTATTTCAGCTTCTTCAGTGTATTACACCTGGGTTAGATTGTGACTGGAACTTAGATATAGAGTTAGATACATAAATAGAAACATTCTTTCTATTCCAGTTGGAGATGAATTTTACATTTTTGGTTCATGTGATTGCACTGGAAATGATGCATCAACATTGAATGAATCCCATTTTTTTTAAAGTGATTCCTTTCAAGGTTAAGAATTCATCAGTGCTTCTTGATTTCAACATTCTGAATAACAACATTACTTGTTGTCACATTATCCAATATACAATCCTTGGTGTAAAATCCTCTTGATGTCTGATTACTCTTCATAAGGACCTCATGCTGATTCATTTCAAACTGTGAATTACCTTTAATTCATAGCTTGAACATGCTGCCAAATTTTGTTTTCCATGCTCCCAGGTGGCTGTCCCTGACACAGTGGAGAACTTCCAAAAAGCCATTAGATACTTACGAAAAGTAGTTAGATGTCAAGAAGCACATTTCCATTTTCAAACAGGCTTCCATCAAGTATTATGATAATCTTTGGGATTAGAAAAGTACTGGTATTTACTGAAATTTTTTTAGAACCGTGAAGTGAAATCCTGGCCCAATTGAAACCAGTGGTGAGCCCCCTTTGAAAAATCCTTGCTGAAATATCACATAAAAGAGTTTCAGCTGCCTAGGTTTTTTTTGAGCCCACTGTATTTAGCTGTTCTCTAGCCCCCACACAGGTTGTGTATCATTAAGTATGACGGATAACAAAAACTTATAAGGATAAAATAAATTGTTTTTTTCTGATCCATAAAAATTTGCTGCTCTAAGTTTTTAATGGTTTCCGGTAGCTCACTGAGCCCATGAGAAGGGCCTTTTAATACTGTATTAATACAGTAAGTATAGGAAGTAATTTTATGACAGGGGAAGAATACCATTATGATTACATTCTTCTTTTTAGCTAGGCTTTTATGGAAACTACCCAAGACTACTCTGCAGTATGATTTCGAAACACAGGATGTGCTTGATTAAAAAGGTTCTGGGTAGTTTCCAACTGGACAGAGGCCAAATGCTAACAACCAAAACAGAACAAAAGGACTGGATGTTTGAGGATGACATACTTGCAGTGGTAATTATATAACAGAAACCTAAGTCGCAGGCTGAGTTTGTACCCTCAAATTCATGGAAGTTGACAGAAAATCCTTCTCAGTGCAATTGGTTGCACCTTATCTGTTCCTGCTTACTATGCTTCATAATAAACTAATCAGAGTAGACTAGCTGAAAACTGACTGCACAATACCCAAAAGAGATTTACAGTGAATATGAAATTTTAAAAAAGGGAAGCCAAGTGCCATAGTTTTACATAGCCAGATTTCAGCTATAAAAAGACACCACGGTATACAGACACGTGTACACATCAGTGTTCAAAATTTCATTTTCAAGATTTTTGAGTAGAAATTAGGTCCTGTGGTTAGTTACACGTACACATACTCACGTACAACATAGGTGCAGAATTCAAACACAGTCCCAACTACTCTACGTTCTATTTTACCTGCTGCAAAGCATTGGGGATTGGGTTTCTCCAGCATGTGGATGTAATAAAGTACATTGAAATAGTATAAAAAGGATGAAACTCATAGTTCAGAAAGCTTTACTTAGACAAGAAGTCATGCATCTTGCATAGCCTTAGAAAAGCAAGACGTTGGTCAATTAATCTACCTTGCAGTATGTTGCCTCCATTCTTCCCCGTAGAAACACGCACCTGAAAACTTATCTTGCGAAGATCATACATCCCTTTGGTCTGATCTTCCATGATACCAATGTTTCTACACCTGAATTCTGTAATGGCATACAGGCAGCTTGGCTGCTGGAGCAGAATATAGCATGATGAAGGTAAAGTATCTTTGTTCTGCACGCATCGCTCAACTAGTCATGCTATATCTCAGCGATATGGTGAATGCAAGCACATTACTCCCAATTCCTATGGATTTCTAACAAAGCCAATGGAATCTATAAGACCATCGCTAGGACCAAAGTAAATGGAAAATATAACTGAAGTTTCACTTGAATTGCATGTAAACTTAAAAAAGTTGGGGAATATCTAGAAACATGTCCAGGTTAAAAGGTCTCTAACAAAGCATACAGGTGGACAAACCCAAATTCAGTCAGATTTGATCAAACTGAAATACAGGTAACAGATCCCATTGACAAAATATATAAGGAATTGGTGGGGGATACAGTTTTGAAGTCAGTAAGATCATGCTGTGTGGTTGAAAATGTAGCAACAAATGTTACTGGGGATAAGTTGGACTGTAATTTCACTCATACACTCCAATATCCCTGAAACTGACCGATGTCAGAAAGATTAAATCCTTAACACAACTGCAATCTGATAAATACTATGTTATTAAAATATACAATGACTGCAGGAGCTGTCAATCTATCAGGGTTTATTTGGATCGCACTATCGAGCTCTACTTGATACCACTGCGTCTTTCTGCCCCACTCTCTGCTTTAATTTCATTATATCCTCAAGTACCGTAATTCCCAGTGAAGGTGGTGGTAACTGCACACGCAGATCTAAAGAAACAAATTGGCCTCGTAATACCAAGTCTCACAGTGGACTGCCTTCTAACCTCCCAAAGCCCTATGGAAATTCTTAGAAGCTGCCTTAACAATTTTTCTGCGGTAAAAGAGAAAAAGTGATAGTAATGGGTTAGCTGATCTTCATTTGGAAGCTAAAAATAAAAGTAGCTTTATTGCAGCTCTGATCTCTCATGTGTAAAATCTATCACCTACCATAAGAAGGCAGTTCATTGCAGCAGAAATCTGATTGATAGTACTGGAACTTTAGATCAAGCAGCAGAACAGAGAGCAACTGGTTCATAAAATGTACTCAGTGTCTTTGGTTTTTATATCAGGCTTCCTATAGAGAGCTTTGGTCCCATTAAAAGCACTATATACCACTGAGCTCTGAAGTACTGTTCTTTTGAAATTCAGCTTATAACAATAAACCATGATTGACAAGTCTATTACTGTTGGTTACAAACTATTGGAATATTGTATTTTATGGTATACTCACTAAAATATTTTTCACAGTGGAATCCAAATACACTTGCTTTAGGAGAAAAATAATTTTAAGATGTAATAATATTTTTTTACTTTTTTTTTTTTTTTTACTATGGAATGTGCTTGATGTTAAGGTTTGGATGTTCTGAAACATGAATGCACCCATTCTGTTACCAAGAACAGTGGGTATAGTTGGCTAGATTCTTTAAAACAACCAAGCCATTACTGGAAATCAAAGAGCAAAGGGCAAAACCTGATTTGTTACTATGTTTCATAAATAAATGCTATTCATGCAAATTAATCTGTTTATCATTAGCATTCCTATCCAATTCTCATTCATTCTGAAGAAAAATCCATTTCATTTTAAAATTGAGTTAGTCGTTTAACCATAATTTTGTAAAGTTTTGCTCAACAAACTTTACTTGAATGAGTACTTCCATGACTTGAGTTTATGAGTAATGAACTGGACCTTCAGAGCCTGGTGAGTACATCAATGGATTCAGGACCCACATCTAGTCTAGTCCCGTATCTCTTACACGGTCACAGACAAATCACTGAACTCCAACAAGTCCTTTCCTGTACACAGACTTGCGCTAAGAATCAATACATTTAAATTAATTTTAAAAACATATGTAGGTATCTCCACATTGATTTTTCTTCTCCTATAGGGATTTACTTAAAATTGTGTCCTTAGTAGATTAAGGGGAACCACTAGAATAATTTTGAAGTAATTTTAAATGAACACATTGTATTTACACAAACGTGAGTTAAGCTAGTGCAGTTCTAAATTCAGTAGTTTAAAACACTTGAACACTAAAAAAAATAGCAGCTGTGAACTGAAACCAGACCCACAAATTTTCGTAAGTATAAAAACAACAACCTACTTTTCAGAGTTATTATTTAATTCCTGTTTGTAAATTAGTTTGAAATCCTAGGATAAAAGCAAAAAACCAGTTCAGTCTCAACTCACTGCTACATTATTGCAGCCTTACACCAGAGAAGCACCAAAGAAAAATGGTTTAACACAGTGGAGAATTAGCTCTTCCACAATTTTAAACTGTCATATTTATAGATCATCTGTGATTTTCAGCTGTTTCAAAGTGTATGAAACTCAAGACCAGCTTTTCAACACCAGCTAGTAGAATCATTCCGTATGATGTGTTTTACTCTCTCTCACTGTATGAATGTTAAAATTCCTGCATCATCTGTTCATTGGGTTGCATTTTCTAGTGTAAGAGGCTTAGTATCTGATGAGAGAAGCATAAAAGTGATTTAATTTTGGCAAGCTGTACAACTAAAATCAGCATTATTTCTGCTTAATAAACTCATCTTTCACACATACCTCTCTTAGCTAATGCTTAAAAAGAAGAAACAGTAATAAGCACTGAAAACATAAAACTGGTTTATGGCTAATTTTTAAGGACTACTGAGAACACCTGAACACCAGGACAAGATTATGAGCAGAGCTAGATTTTTGTTACCTTTGGAGAAATAAACTCATTCTTTATGATAAATTTAAAATGAGATTTAAAGCTGGAAATAATAATACTTACGACTTTTGTGGCACTGACTTAGTTGCAACTTTCCCTGCTGGATCACTCCACTCTGCAAACAAAGGAAACACATTTTCAAATGTCAAAAGATTACTGTAGAATTAAAATGCACCCAAAGCTGTCAGCCCATCTAATTATACTTGGTTTCACAACATGCCACAATGCATAACATGCAATAAAAAATGGAACTGATCTGCTTTAGCACCATAGAAATTAATTTTTTAGCCTTTGTTTTAATGATGTTAAGCAGGAAAAAAAAAAAATACTCAGCCCTGACTTTTAGGACTAGGATGATAAACACCTACTTTGTACATTGTATCCTGAGGTCAGATGTTGGGAGTCCTACAAAGAAGAACACACAAAATGTCAGCATTAGTTAAATAAGATGAAGAAGGTAAGATATATCTTGGCTTGCTAGATTAAGGGCACTAGCATTACACAAACAGAGAAGGAGATGGTATAGGGAAGGGATCATGCGATTGTTAAGGCAGCACCAGTGACAGTTTAAAAAAACATTAACTGTGGAGACAAGGCACCACTGAGGGACCCCTTCACAGTTCAGACAAGAGCTTGTCCTCAGCTGCTGTAAATCTACATACCCCCTTTGTGGAGACACTGCATAGATTTATACCCACAGTGGTCCTAGCCTTTTCCAGGCCTGGCCATGGACATGTCTATGAGCCATCTATGATGTACAACTTAGACTGCACCATGAATGCAACCATCCATTAAATTCAGCTCCACTGCCTGCCTCTCTTTGATCTCACTGCTTGGAAATACAGTAACCTTTTATTGATAGTCACTGTTTTTATTTGGACTGTGACACACAGGATTTGATAAAGACACAGGACGCAGATCTTCACCTAATGGAAACTGGTCCAAATCCAGTGAAATCAATGGAAGTACAACAACGTTAAACCAGCAAAGAATCTGGCTTGTAACACTGAGCATGCTAATGCCGGGATTCTTGTTGGCTCACAATAACTAAGCTGCTTCCTTAATGTTTTCTTGCTCAGTTTTTCTCTAGGCTTTATAGTCCACAGTGATTGTAATCAGCTTTCCTTCCAAGCAGAGTTTCATCATTTGAAATTAAGGTGTTATTTACAACCTCATCTTACAGCCAGGCACTACTTTGCTGGAAGTGTTAGTTCTGTAGGATGTTAAAGTCATTAAAACCCTCACTGCACTTCCTCTTAGGGCATTATTAGTTCCTAATATTATACTTTGCTGTCAGTCAGTCCCTTGTGAAGTAAATCATGCCCTAAGAGTAAACATGGCACTTTAAATTTGAATGTCAAAGGGATAAATTGTTCTGATAAGTTCCGCCTTTTTTATCACACTTTTTTATATATGTTTCTCATGAGAATACTTTTGTTTTAATAGTTAAATTGAGAACTTCTAATAGCGCCCGTCTCTAGTTTATATGGCTGTACAATCTAGCCACATTATGTCTGAGATCTATAATTTGGCTAGCTATAGTTGATTTAATGTGGCGTTCTGAAGAGACGTTTCAGTTCTATTTTTTAAAGTAAAACTAGCAAACTTGGAAATATTTATGTGCTTGCCTATTTCCTGAAATGCTAGGTCAAAAAAAAAAAAAAAAAAATCTGATTTATATTTTGTATTGAAGTGATATGGTCAAGAATTTTAGGATCAACATTTAACGTGCCCAGAAATTAACTTTGATGTGGATCTTAAAAGTTCAAAGCAAACTTAACAGAAACAGAAAAAGAAAACAAAATTTTAGCTTCTCTGAACCTATGCTTATACTGCTGCCAATGGAGATATTGGCAGTCTGCAGGACTTAGACCAATCTCTGTAGGGCCCATCAAAAAACAGTGCTAAATTAAGACATGGTATAAATTAAAAAAAATACAGCTTCCAGTGGGCAGACCCCTCTACTCTCCCTGTATTCGCACAGGTCAGACTCCACTTTCACCTAAATGGGTTCAACAGACTTTAACTCAATTTGCCATGAGGATATACTCTTGTATGATTATGACTTCTGATGCTTAATGCTGCAGCAGTTAACTGCAGTGACAATGGCAGTGCTAGAGTGGTAACAATCACATTCCATTAAAATAAGGCACTCTGGGCACTGGCTTTGTTTTCTTAAGGAACCACAGATACTGCTAATTTCATATGATTTCCAGTTAAGTATGGTGGCTGCACTTCAGACAGGGAAATATCTGCCAAACAGATAAAATCAGTAAGAGGAAAATCACATTCCAGCTTCCAAAACAGGATATGATTGCTTGAACCATAATGTCAAGCAGTACCAGTTTTATAAGCTATCTTCCAAGGTTCTGCCTTTAGAAAGAAACTTTTAGGTAGCTCCATGTCAGACTGGTGTAGATTTCCTGCCCTGAGAAAGTTCTCCGCTTCTCCAAACATCATCAGCTCACAATTGTGCAGGTCCCAGCAAAAGATGCCTCTGGCAATAATTGTCCTGGGTATGAGCTTGATCTCTAACAGTGCTACCAGAATCATAGCTAGAAGGCAACGGAATTTGGGCTAAAGGCATGTTCAAATCATACAACTTAATGATTCACTGCGTGTTAGGTGAACTGCAGGTAGTCTCCAGGCATGTGCTTTTGACGTGGCAAGTGCTGAGTGCATCCTTTTAACAAGGCCAATACTGAGGATCGCATTGTGCAACTTCGTGTGCCCTTGGAGTATGCACAGACAGATGCCATAGCACCGTTCACATGCAGACACATTTTAAGTCACCGTAATTTGACCACGCAGCCTAAACTTCATCATGCAATCAGTCACTAAGTAGGAACACACGACCATTTCAGCCACTGCACTGCACAAATAATAATGGAAGAAAACCAAACAAATAAAATAGATTTCCAGTACCTAAGGGGGTTCTACAAGAAAGCTGGAGAGGGACTTTTTACAAGGGCATGTAGTGATAGGACAAGGGGTAACGGCTTTAAACTGAAAGAGGGTAGATTTAGATTACATGAAAGAAAGTTCTTCACTGTGAGGGTGATGAGGCACTGGAACAGGTTGCCCAGAGAAGCTGTCGATGCCCCCTCCCTAGAAGTGTTCAAGGCCAGGTCGGATGGGGCTTTGAGCAACCTGGTCTGGTGGAAGATGTCCCTGCCCATGGCAGGGGGAGTGGAACTAGATGATCTTTAAGGTCCCTTCCAACCCAAACCATTCTACGATTCTATGATATTTGTACTTGAAGGAGAAAGACTCTTATAACAAGAGAGATAAATTTCACTCTGCTTCCACTGGAATTTCCGCAGCTTTAAATAAGCAGTCCTACTAGTAACAACAGTCTGATTGGGAATTTCCAACTAAAAATAGTCTTAGAAATTTTTGAAAATGGAACCAATTACAAAAATAAACTCTCCAGCGAAGAACACTCAACAGAACAGAATGTTAATCAGGTCACTGGTAATAGCCTATTTGTACCTTGCTTGGGATAGAAAACTTGGTCTGCTCAGCCTTGCCAGGAGTGTGAATAGCAGTAAGAGGAGGAGGCCAGGAATGGGTCATCTCCTAGGGAAGAAAATAGACATGTTTTTGAAAACAAATTCATGTACATAAAGAAGAAAGAGAGGAAAAAATGATCATGTATTCTCCACTGAGCCTGGAGATGCAATTGCTTAAGGAAGCGTCACCACCCATCCTTACGTGGTAGATGAATACCTTAACTACCCAACAGGCAGCACCTCCTGGGAACGAGGGTGAGGACAGGTTTTACTCTTGAAAATTTTGACCGTCTGTGTCTTCATCACGTGGCAGCTGACTCCACCTCTGTGGTCAGCCTGTCAAGCTGTATGAATTAAGGCATCACAGGTATAAAACAGGGTTTTATCTGCAAAGCCCAAGCAGGAAGAGGATCCCTCCGGTACTGCACTGGATGCAACCCTATAGAAAATTGCATGGTGGCAAAATGTAACCCTATTCAAGATTGCTTAGTGGCAAAATAAACCAGAGGCAGGTCTAGAAAAAGGTAGAGTGGGCTTGCAGCATGAATGCGTGGCATAGAAGAGATCAGGGACAGTGTCCTATGCACCAAAGCATCTTCTCATAGCACCGGCCATAGGCACTTACTGTGGTATGCAACATCACAGCATCAGAGCACTATCGATTCCATTTTAAAATGCGGGACTGAGAGATGAGGTGATTTGCACAGGGTTACACAGAAAGCCCATACTTCACTAGGAAATCCAAGTCTCTAGTGAAGACCTGCCTACCAGACCATCTAAGCACCACGCTCATTTTCTGTATCAATGTGTTCATCATTTGTACACACATGTTCCAACTATCTTCAGAGAAATCTCCTGGATGCCCATGCCTGTGAAATACAAGCAGAAACGACAGTGCACACCTTGCTTTTTCATACTGAGGCCTAGAATCGCTGTCCCACCGAGCTCGGTGGGAGCAGACTGGGACTTAGGTTCAGAGTAGGGGGAAAAAAATCAGTAAAATAGAAAAACTGCAAAAATGTTGTTTTAGGCAGAGCTTGTAAATGCCCTTCTAATGAGTGTGTTTTATGGTTGATGTTGCTCCATTCTCTCTTATCTTTGTTTTTAATTTAATAAATATTCAGAGAGGCGGTAATACTTGTCTCTGGTAATCTGTTATATCTTTGTCTTGGTTGTTTTTCTTTGCCTACAAAGCTCAGGAAGGATTCTTTCTTGAGACAAGGGACACAAAGAGCAAAAGAAGGTCTGGTCTAGGAAATTTTGCATGCAATGGCCATAATCCTGACTGCAGTAAACTAAACTTCCCAGCTGCTATTTTACACTGGTCAAGCCCAGGGCCAGTCACAACAAAGCTTATGAACACACAAATTTCTGTAGGTAACATGACAACCACTGGATACACTCCACAAATAAAAATATAACATAACTAAGAAAATATAACTTGTCAAAAGGGCAGTGTGGTGGGTCCATTTGGGCTAAAGACATAGCCTGGGTGGCTACAGCTGGATGCTAATGTATAATTCACTGAAGATACAGCCAGCAAGTTTCAGGTCTCCAGTTGTCCCTCACAAATCATGTGTCATACAGGAGGTTAGGAGAGAGAAAAGAAAAGAAAGCATCACGGTCCTCAGTCAATAGGACAGGCGGACACGTAAACTTCCCCCAAGCCCCTGTTAGATACTGGTATTTTATTGAAGCCCATCAAATTTCCACCCTTAGCAATGCTGCTACTGCAGCAAGGTCTGCCTGAGCCCCTCAAGGGACAAAGCCCAGGTACAACCACTACAGAGAGAAGCCCTCACCCAGTCCTGGCAGAGGCAGGAGGGCAGGGCTGGTCAGCAGCTCAGCCCCACTGGGCTCTGCCGCTCCGCTTCCACCAGCGCAGCGTACCATGGACACACTTGCAGCTTATCTAAAGGGCCACACAGCTACAGACGGTGCAGCCTGGGGCCAAGCTTTGCCAGTTCCTTGTGCAAATGACCCAGGGACAGAGGAGGGTGCAGATGTCTCTGCACTGCTGAAGGAGCTTTTGGGTTTCTGCCTGTGGAGCTCAGGGCCTGTTTTCATTGCAGAAAGCACAAACGGTGGCAATGAGGAGGAAAGAGGCAGCTAGTGAACAGCTCATCCCTCCCGGTGGGTGAGGCCGCGGCAGCTCAGCGCAGTGACGAGAAGTACACTATTATATCGCATTGATTGTTTGACCTCTGCACAGAGGAAGGCAGAAAAAGACTTAAGCATCCGGTGAACTTTTCTGTGAGATAATATAATCCAAATCCTCCTGCCTCTGCCAAATCCTATGCCATAGAGGATGCTTTGTGGCATATCTCTTCATAGCAAAACGATGAAACAGAGGCTATATCACATAATTAAAAGAGGGACAGGCAGCCTGATTGAAGGCAGAAATGAAGCATATTCTAGAATGGCAATTATAGGCTTGACCTCAGTCTCTTCCTGCCCACACATAAAAGGCTGGACAGAGAGCCTAGGATTCATGGGAAGGTGATGCCAGCAAATACTTCATAATATTCACTGTCAGAATGCATCTAGTGCCCACGGTGTACCAACTTGGCAGGCTGAAGTGTAAGCAAATCTAGTCATCTCCCTGTTAGGGGACACCTGAGCATAAAACAGCAGGAACAGGAAAAATGAGTCTGCTATTATTTGAGGAAATTGAATTACAAGGTAAGAAATCCTGACTCCACTGAGGTCAGAGGCAAAAGTCAACTTCAGTGAGGTTAGGACTATCCAATCTATGTGTTTACAGCGTGACCTTGAGAGCATCAAAGTCTATTAGAAAGGTACAAGCTAGCTACATTGAAGCATTTCACTTCAATTATCACTGTAATAAAAATTATTGGATAGAAAATTCCAGATAGGACCACACATGCAAAACACCACAAGTATTTAAAGTTCAGCGTATAAACAAACACTGTGTGTGGAAGTCATAAGGAAGCATATAGTTACTTAAGGAAACATACCTACATCTACCTACTGATAGGTGCCGCAGCACTGCTGACCAAAGAACCTTGAATGATCGTAGAGAAAGTTTTGAGTTTACTCATCTGAAAAATGTCACTTCAAAATCTATGGGCAGCAACCCCACACCGACCACCACAGCTGCATATTATACTCACACAGAGCACTACTGAGCTACAGAATGACATGCAAAAATGGCACTGCACTGTTTTCAGTGAAGGGTCAAAACCCCAACTCCACATCCTGCAGAGAGGTAACTGTTTGCTTAACTCTCTCCTACTCTGTTCCTTAAGCACATGCACATTACTCTGGAGAATCAGAAGAAAGGATGTCATTTGTTTAATCATCCACATGACTTCACCATTCTTTGCTATGCCCCGGGTTCTTTTGGAGGTCCCTCATCTCTAAGTACTTGCTAAGCTCTATTTTGTTTAACTTTTGAAATCTGATATATCTACCTTCTAATATGTTATGACTATAAAGAACCACACAGACGTTGTGTGTGTTGTGTATGCATCCATCCATTAAGATGTATATATAAACATCTTGGTTTGTAAATACCTGGGAAAGTAGGCAGGGAATTTCATTTTTTTTTTTTTTTTTTTTTTTCCCCAGGAAAAGTTAAAAAACTTTAATCAATCCAAATTTGGAAGTATTTAGAAATTCCTGGAAGTAACAATAATAAAACCAAGCATATGAAATGCTTTAAAGAGGAATTTAATGGAAACAAAGTAATCCCACAAAATTGAGTTAGGATTTATTTTCACATGGTTTGGACTTAAAATAATTCCAAAATCATGTTAACTGTTGGAGTGGGTAGATGACTGCTATGGAAGCATGCATTTTTTTATAGACCTGGAGATTAAATGAGAAAGCAAACCTGCATGGTTTGTTGGCTTAAAAGTCACTGTGGTCCTCTGATGTAGTAACATCAAGCATCCTCCTTTCTGAACATTATTTAAACATTGTTTTAATTGACTCCATGTGCTTTATTTATTAGAGCTAGGCATGCTTGTCTCTTCAGCTAAGTCCGCTTTTTTCAGCTATAAAAGCCCTCAGGTAAGTAACTAAGAAGGACACATGCAGATGCGATCTAACGAATCACCAAAAATACAAATACTCCAAGCAAACTTTTTAAGGGCTGCAGAGGTACAAGGCCAAATCACGATTTAAATGGAAGAAGATGACTGGGGAAGGATTTAAGCTTGCAAGTTTCTAAGGAAAAGGTCAGAGCGAGAGAATTGAGTACAGGGGATATGGGGCAGATGGTAAATAGCTTTACAAAACCAGTCCCTAAAATTAATAGCCGCCTTCAAGATTTATTTCCTTTCTCTGTATTTCAGTTTTCCATCATTTCCTTCTTGTTCAAAAGAAAGTGTGCAGTGTTTTTAAATACAGATAAAAGCACTGAGCCAGGTTCTAAGAGGTCATTATGGAAAAAAGCAGCTAGGCTGTGTACTCTGCATTCCTACTGAGGCAGCTTCCCTTCCTACAGTGCACTCTAAACTGCTTACCCTGATCTAATTTGAAGTCTCCCAAGATATAGGGCTCACGCTACTTCCCTTGGGAGAATTGAGGGGAGACATAAGAACGGTCTTCAATTACAGAAAGAGCTGTTGCTAAAGGAGAGAATAATCTGTTCTCCAGTTTTATGGTGGATATGAACTTAAACTGCAGCCAAAAAGATTCCAGTTAGACATAAGAAAAAGCTCTCCAACGGTAAGGACCGTGCAGCACTGAAACAGATTGCTCAGAGAGCTACAAAGACTCCATCTTTGGAGGAACACACTTAAGAACAGATTAGCACACATCAGTCAGGAATGGCTTAGGCAGAATTGATTCCTGCAATGGGGCAGGAATGTGTAGTAGATGATGAGATTTCTAAGACCCTTCCCAGCCCTTTTTCTTGTTCTGTAGTTTGATAGATCTCTGTTGGCCAAACGCTACCCTTACTGCCTCTCTTGGGGACAGCAGAACCACAAAAAGGCAGAAGAAGAAAGCAACAATCCCAGTGTTTTTCTTCTGTGGCATTAGAGTCCACAAAGGCAGTTTCAGGACCGACACTTTGCCCACATCATTAGAGGGCAGCCA